GATCCCAGAGAGAACTGGTTTTGCACTTCAGTAAATATTACTTATATTTTAAGCAATAAAAATTACAGTCCCCCCCCCCCGCTTTTGGATGGGGTCTTGACCTTGCCCCATTTGAAGTCAAAGCATTTAACTGATGAGTGTAAGAGGAAAGGGGTTCTAAAGCAGAGCGAGAAAAAACTTATTCTTACTTTCATCATCCAAGTTGCACACACCAAGGGTATGGCTGTATTGTAACAAGCAGGTTGTAGCAACAGCATGCAATCAACATACCCGCGGTGTTATTGCTTTGTGGGAGATAAATTTAAATTGTCAGGCCATGTCATGGAAATGCAACATTTGCATTTCCCTATCAGGATGTGCCAGGACATTACACTGCAATCGCAGACCATGAGGTAATAATGTGGAGGAAAGAGTAGCCTGACCTACTGCAGAGTAATACATGCTGTTATTGAGCATTTTAAAAGGGGGCCCATAGCATCAGGAGATGGAGTGGAGCCCAAGAAAAGCTCCACAACTGTTTCAACAGTAGATATCACAATACAATTTCAGGGCTTGCAACCTCAATATTCCATATTCATTCGGATAATCCCATTCCCTTCATTGTAGCCTGGGGGACCGACGCATCGTTTTCGCATGCTGGATCTCAAAGTGATGAATACGCACTGATCTTGCCTCCTAGGTTCGAGTCAGCCTCACCATCCTCCTTGGTATGCTCTGCCCTCTAAACATCCAGGCTTCCTTCATTTGTTTTTTCTCTTTTCCTGTTTCACAGTGACCCCATAGTTCCTTCATCATTGCCTGGTATTTATTCCAGTAGCTCACTAAGACTGTAAGGAACATCTGTCTTGTTTCATCCATTCTCACCCTCTTTCAGTGGGGAGGGCTTTGTGTGCAGTTTCTATTTCGGCAGGATTTTCGGGTTTGTTTGTTTGTTTGTTTGTTTGTTTGTTTTTTTCCAAAGCCAACGGTATAAACATCTTCCTCCCTACAGATCGTGTGTTTAAAGTAGGAAAAAGCAGATCGCTCTGCCCGTGGACAGGGGGAAGGGGAAAGATTTATGGCATTTCTGAGTTCCCGTGGGAGTTTCCTAGCAGGCCCCTGGGAAACTGCTGAGCCCTGCACAGATGAACCTCACCCTTACGGCAGGAGTTCTGTCTTGCCTGGCAAGCCAGCAGAAGCACCACCATCATCATCGTCCCTGAGCATTAGGTGATCTTTTAGATATGCTGAGCCCAGGCCCTTGAATGCCTTAGAGAACAAAACCTTGAACCCTTCTGCACTCAGCTCCCAGGGGTTTGGGCTTTTGCTTGGATATTTCCTCCCCGGATCACACCCCGCTAGCCGGCTGTCCGGGCTCTCTTGCCCTTCGTGCCCATTCCTAACCGCTCAGCTGCTGAAGCTGCCCCTGTGCTCTGCAGTCCTTTCTCACTTCAGCCTCGTATCCGTGACAGTTTTCCTGGCACCCTTCCCAAGTTCTCTTGCTGCCAACTCAGTCTCAGTACGAGCTTCTTGTATTCCCTTTCAAATCCTTTTCTATCGTGGCAAATAAACCCAGTCCTCTACACAGACACTCTTGATACTATCCATGACATCTCTTCACTTCTGGCACTCAGCTGCCGCTTAATCATACAGATTCCTTCTCTGATTCACCTCATGTGCTCTTGCGGCCAAAAAGCTTGACTTTGATTTGGCAATGTCACAACTGGAGCGCTGGGATCTCCTCCCTCGTGATCCAATTCCTGCCTCGCGTGCCCCACGGTTGTTAGCATGCTCCTGTTCCACTCTGCTCTCCAAAGCAGCTTCACGCCACCGTGTCTGGTACCATCGCCTCACCTCTGCCTTTCTGCGCAAACCACCGGTACCCTGCTTCTTTACGCTTTCCCTGATTTTATCAATTTCATGCTGCTTTGGACTATTTCCATCCTACTGCTGTCCCAGAACAACAGCCCTGACCTTGACTCCCAGGTAGCCCTCACCTTCAGATCCCTCCTCTAAACATCCTTCCACAGAGGCTGCTCATCCACCACGGTCTCGTCCTTGTGACATTTCCAAAGAGAGCGGGGCAGAGCAAACCAAACCAATCTAGCAAGCAATACAGCTCGAAAACGGGGAACTAACACGATGTGCACGCAGCACCAGAAATAACCTCGCTGCCATTCGCCGTGCAAGCCCTGTCCTTCCCTTGACCCCCTCCCTCTGCACATCTCCTGCCATCTCTCCTCGTGTCAGCCTCTGCTGCGAGCCCCAGCACAGGGACCCCTCCTGCTCCTCCCCAAAGCCCCCGCGCACCTACGGGGCCGCAGGGCTGAGCGATAAGCGCGCTCCAGCTCTGCTCTGCCCAAGCAAAACAACTGGAACCGCCAGCAGCTTCCCAGAGGAGCTGTTTACAGACAACGCCGCAAAACCGCTTCCCTGCGCTGCTCTCTGTATTGAACAAATGACACGACAGCCTAAAACAAGAGGGCTGGTATAAAAGTAGGATTTCTTTTTTTACTCGGGAAACGCTGCAGGCGCAGGCACACCTATTCACCCTCACACCCCCGCCGGTCCTGCTTTGTGCGAAGAGGGTGTTTGTGTTTATTAGCCTTTTTCCCTAGCTGCCCACTGGCATGGACTTTGCTCCTCCGGGTTGGGATTTCTAAGCAGCGGGAGGCTTTCCACGTGTGTTTGAGAAGGTACAAAGCCTGCCGGAAAACAATGGAAATAGCTGGCTTATGACTGCTGCGTGTCACGCACTCATTCCTTGCCTGTTCGTTTGTCCTTGGAGCTGCTCACGCCGCCTGGAACCTGATCTGGAGCGGTGCCGGTCGTTCAGGCTGGCACGCACGCCAGCCTGTCGCCGTGCCACGGGGGCGAGATGCGGCCGGACTCTGGCCTGGCCTCCCTGCCCCCGGGGCCCGCAGTCCCGAGCCACCCCTCAAGCGCAGACCGGGGTGCGGGGGCCACGGCGGTGTGGGGATTTGGGGAGGGGGCACAGTCGCTTCAGAGCGGAGCGTGGCCGGAGCAGCCCCCCTTCCCCGGGGCTGTGCTTCCCCCAGGGCCTCTGCCAGCATCTCTTCACCTCCAGGACAGGCTCTTCTCACCCCCCAGGACTGGATCTCCTCGGTCATAGAATCATAAAATGGTTTGGGTTAGAAGGGACCTTAAACATCTAGTTCCAACATCCCTGTTTTTCACATGCTGGCATAAAACCAGAAAGTCCTCCCCAAGACAGGCTCCCATCAGCCCAGTATCCCTCCCAAGGGTCGGGTCTCCTCAGCACCCCCGGGACAGGCTCCCCTCAGTCAAAAAAAATCATTGAATGGTTTGGGGTGGAAGGGACCTTAAAGACATCATCTAGTTCCAATCCCAATGTTTTTCTGGTTTTATGTAAAAAAAAAAAAAGTCCCCCCAAGACAGGCTCCCCTCAGCCCCCTAAGGACAGGATCTCCTCAACATCCCCAGGACAGGTTCCCCTCACTCCCAGAATGGTTTGGGTTGAAAGGGATGTTAAAGACCTAGTTCCAACATCCCTGTTTTTTACATGCTTGCATAAAACAAAACAAAAAAAAAAAAGTCCCCCCAACACAGCCTGCCCTCGGGGCCCCTCACGGACAGGATCTCCTCAGGTTCCCCTCCCTCATAGAATGGTTTGGGTTGGAAGGGACACTGAAGACCCAGTTCCAACATCCCTGTTTTTTACATGCTTCCATAAAACAACAACAAAAAAAAAAAAAGCCCCCCCCAAGGCAGGCTGCCATCAGCCCAGAGTCCCCCTCAGGGGCAGGATCTCCCCAGAACTCCTGGGCTAAGCTCCCCACAGCCACAGAACCATAGAACGGTTTGTGTTGCGAGGGACATTAAAGGTTATCTAGTTGCAACCCCCGTGTTTTTCACATGCTTGCATAAAAAAAAAAACAACAAAAAAAAAAAAAAGTGCCCTTCCAACACAGGCTCCCTCAACCTCGGCTCCCCCCAGTCCAGACTCCTTCCAGCCCCAGCCCCGCTTCCCCTCAGCGGGGGAGGGCGGGAATGGCGCAGTCCCCTCTCCCGCCGCCCTCCCTGCCTTTCCCCCGGCCGCTGCGTGACGGGCCGCCATTCCCCGGCTCCCCTCCCTCCCTCCCTCCCTCCCCTCCCCTCCCCGCCCGGCCCGGCCGCGGCGATCCGCGCTGATCTCATCGCCGCCCGACTCCCTTCCCCGGCACGTCAGGGCGGCCATCGCGTGAGAGGCGCCGGGCGCCCGGCCCGCCGCCATCACGCGGGGGGGGGGGGAAACATATGCCGGCAAGGCGCGGCCAGGCGCCCGCCCAGCCCCGATCAAAGGCGCTGCCTTCCCCCCACCTCCCCGGCTCGCTCTTAATGCCGCTCTTAATTAAATACCTCCACGGGGGGGGGGGGAGGGGGAGCCGCCCTTCACACGCGATCACCCCCCCCCCCCCCCCACGCACACCCCCACACCCCGTCCGGGCGCGGCGTGGCGGTGGGTGCAGCGCGCCGGGAACCCCGCTACTCTGCATTTTATTTATATTTTTTTTTTTAAATCGCTGCCTCTTCATTCTGACCTTTAAGCGTACGCGATGGGCGAGTTAACGTTTGCTTTGCAGGGCGGTGACTTGGGTGACATTCCCGCGCCCCCCCCCCCCCCCCCTTCTTTCCACGCGTGACGCCCCACCCGCACCCCCCCACTCTTTATCCCCGACCGCGCGTTGGATCACGAAGAGGTTAAAGGAGGTTGGAGGGGGGCGGGGGGAGGAAGCTGGGGCATGCGGCTCCGGTTGCTGCCAAACCGGGGATTAACGCTGCAGCGCAACGCGGAGGTCGGCACGCAACGTGGAGCGGGTCACGCCGGCAACACACGCGAGGGCTGGGGGGGGGGGGGGGGTAGGGGGGAGGCAGGGGGGCAGCCACCCGTGGGACCGCGAGGGAGGGCGCCGGGCTTTGCATCCCTCTATCATCGCAACAGCTCCCGCTTATGCAACCTTTTTTTTCCCCCCCCCCCCAATAAAATCCACTATCATCTTCAATAGCGAGCCCCCCCACCCCTTTCCCCACACGCAGCTTACTCCACGATAAAACCCTATTCAGCTGCTCGGCACCGCTCTAAAAAAAACATTACTGATGCTTTGTCCTGCACGGAGCTGCCCCAGAGACTGAACCTTTGCAGCTAAGAGCAAGTCATGCATAAATTCAATCAGGTTAACGAGGCTGGTGGAAGGCCGCCTCATTTTTCACCATGGCCCCTTTCCAGTTTTTAGTGGCTGTCCCTAAATTCTTTGAGGGGTGTATCCTGGTATAAAGCTTGTAGGGACTGCTTTGGGCATGTAGGAATGGCTTTGGGTATACAGAAAACGCTGTGGGCATAGAGGAAATGCTTTGGGCATGTAGGAACTGCTTATATAGGAGTTGCTTTGGGCAGGCTGGAATTGCTTTGGGCAGGCTGGAACTCGGCTTTGGGAGGGGAGCAGCCCTGCTGCACTCACGGCCCCTCATCCACAGCATCACAGGTCTGTCCCAGACTCGGGTGGGGAGAGCCCCACCTGTGGGGTCCCTCACTGGGGACTGTGGGGACAGCTGATGGGATGCGATAAAACCGAGTCTCAGCAGCAACTCGTTTTTTTTTTGGCCCGCGTTGAAGGCACATAAAATAACCAGCGATGAAAAGGAGCAAAGGGTAGAATCTGAAGTGAATTCCGTTGAAACGGGGGTGATACTGAAGGCTCCCGCTCCTCACATCTTTTCCTGATTTGCTTATTTTTATTGCTTCGCCGTCAGCTCGAGTGGATTTCATCGGGAGCTGGCAGCGCAACGCCGGTTCACGGGGAGGTTGAGCACACGGAACTCAGCCGCGCCCGAGGGTCGGTTTTGGGGCGGCGGCTTAAATGAAACAAAGGCTCCGCAGCGACTCACGCCGAATCCCTCCGGCCCTGGCAGTGCAGCTCCTCCATTATATTTAGTTATTAATTTTAAACTGGGCCGGTTCGCCAAGCAGGGCCCTCAGCTCGCCTCCCTCCCCTCCCCCCCCCCCCCCCCCCCGCTGGCGTTGCGCGGGCCCGGGCCACGTGACGCGCCACGCGCAGCGCCGCCCGCCGTTGCCCTGGTTACGGAGGAAGCCGCGGTAAGAAAATGGCCGCCCCGGTTACCTTCCCTCACTCCGCTTCCCTCCGGCTGTCCCGCGGGGGTTCGGCCCCGGTTCTGGGGGGGAGCGGGGGGCTCCGTCCCGCCGTGTCCGGTCCCGTCGCTGCCCCTTTCCCGTGTCCTGCGCTCCGCGACCGCTGCCCGGGCCCTGCCGCTGCCGGCAGCCGCGGCCTGTCCCTGAGCGGGGGGGGCTGCGGGCGTGGGGAGGCCTCTCGGGGCTGGCGTGGGCCGGGGGAAACGCGTGGCCCGGTTGCTGAGGGCAGGTTCTGACCTTCCCTGTCACCTCCGGCAGCTTCCCTGAGTCTGCCGCGGCGTTCCCGGAGGCCATGGAGCGGCACATCCCCGTTCACCCGCTGCCCGAGGAAATTCGAAAGGTACGAAATGGTGGAGGTACAAAACCCAAACCATTTGGAGGCAAAATACTGCAGTAATTTAGGAATACTTCATAGGCCTTTGAACACTGGTACAGGCCTTTGAACACTGATACATTATGTGGTATGTTTTGGTCCTGGTTTTCAGACTGGGTGTGTTCTAAGTTTTGTCATTACATACGAAGTGTAATTACACAGTAATGCTGTAGGAACACTGTAGAGGAACATACTCATTTGGTAGTGGTGTTGTCACTGCTAGGTGAGTTTCAAGTTTTACCCTGTGCAACACGTTTTGTTGCTGTAAGTTTGGAATGACTGCAGCGCCTAATGTGTAATTGTTCCTAAGGCGCGCCAATACAAATAGGAACACAACATTCCTCTCCGCCTTTTCTTGTATCTTCTCCTTGTGTATGAGGCTGTTCTTTTGTTTGGGAAACAAATTATTACCAAAGTAACAGTGGTGCTGTCTATATGGGTTAACTTTTGGGGAGGCTCTTTACAAGTGGTGATGCACACAAGTGGAACACGAGTCACTTTTTGTAACACTATGAAGTTTTTACTTTGGCAATAAAACACACTGCTGTCTTCATTTGGTATGAGTCTAATAATCAACAAGTAATTTAAGTTTTATGTGCTTAGGTTATCACAGCCTGGAGAAATTATCCCTGTAATAGTCCAGGAAACTGTTGAGACAATTTCTGAGCCGTCAATGATGTTTTCTGAGAATTCAAGGCTGGGTAAGATAGCTAAAGGAAGGGACAAGAAATACTTCCATAAAGAAGGAAGAGCCTGGGAAATTTACAGACTCATTAGCAGCTGTTTTGATAGCAGGACAGATACAAGGTATGTTTGTTTATTTAGAAATCAGTTTGCAAACATCAACAGGTGGTTAGCAAAAATCGCAGCAAGTTTCTCAGAAAAACAGTTGTGCCAAACTGTTGGTTGAAGTAGGTGAGGGAATTGTTCTGGATCTAGTAGTGCTCAGTATTTCCATTAATGACTTAAGGCTATGGTTTGGTGGCACTTCAGCTGCTTGTCTTTCCTTTGGATCAGTTCCCAATCTACTTCCTGATCTGTGTGCTACACATCTGCTAGCACGAGGAGGAAGCAGGTGTGAGTGCAGGCACAAACCGGGAACAGAAAGGGGGTGACGTTATTTCTTTCAGTAAGAGGGTTGGTGTTTGCTGTCTTGCATTGAGCTAGGATCTTAGACTACAATAAAGAGTACACTGGTGCCAGTCTGGGAGAGGTTGTGAGCGCTCTGGAAACAGCATTAAACTTTATATTCTTAGTAAGAATAAGGCATGTTTAAAATGAAATTCCGGTGCATCAGTACTAAGTTCATAGTAACTGATTAAGCTTTCTTGTCACTTGTCAAACCTAACACTGAGGTCTACAGTCAGGTCATAAGCAGAATAATATTAACAAAGTGATGTTACAGAGAAAGCAAGTATTAGTATAAGAATTGCACATGAAACTTGAGCCTTTGTTATTCCTCTGCTCAGAGCTGTTAAGGTATCAGTTCTGAGCTGCAGGCTTTAAGAAAAACAATGTGATTGATGGGAATCTGGAAAAATAAAAAAATAATGAAGAGCTTAAAAATCTTGTCCTTCTAGGAAAGGATAATAGAACTGGCTTTACTTCTTCTGGAAAATACCTGAGGGCACAGTGGCAGTATTCACATGTGTAGGAAGATGGTGGTTGTGCTTCATCTCCAGCTGCAAATGAATCTTACCCTTACCTTTCTGGAGTTGCCTTAGTTGAATGTGATGAAACTCTAGATGGAGGGGTGGTTGAGGTGTGGAGCTGTGGGATTCCTCCAGTGGCACTGTGGAGGACAAGTGAGGCAAACTGTTGCTTTGGAGTAAATAATGGGGCAGGCAAACTCTTGAGATATCTTTCAGGTTAGCAGTACACCTTTAACAGAAAGATCTATATGCAGAAGGCACATCAGTACTTCTAGATATGTATGTGAACAGGCTTATGTTCCCGTCCCAGCCTACCCTGTCATCTCAGTGTGAGATGTGTGAGCTCTGTGGCAACGATAGCCCAAGATTTTGGGATCAGTTGAGTGTCGGGGTTTTACATATCCTTTGCTGCTGCTCATCTCTGCTGACTTGCGTTGTAGTTGCAGTATAGTTAGAAGATACAGAGCTTGATTACAATCATTCTCACAATTTCCCGTCCTTGTATTTTTTACCTTTGATGTACACAAGTTGTTATTCCCTTCACATTCGCCTCTTCTTGGATTTTATATCCTCTCTTTTCCAGTCTTTCTTTTAGATTACTCCCAACATATGCAGAACTTGTGCCAGCTGTAGATTTCTCTGCCAAACTGAGCACACGCTCCCAACGTGCAGTTTGCTGGCCAAAGGAACATGTATGTCTGGAGGGAGTACGTTAAGCATTTTGATTTCAGCTGCAGAATGAAGAATATTCACTGTTAAGTGCCGTTTTGAGTTGGCTTATTGGAGTTTGGGTTGTAGTGCTGACAACAGATCCAGCAGATGTCTCAAAAGAAAGGATGTAGACCGGAGCTCTCATCGTTCCTCTCCTTCGTGCTCGTAGCAGATGGAGGAGCTTCACAAGGGGTTTATCAATACTCGGAGCAGTGACAGAGCTGCCTCCAAAATTGCACTCTTCTTGAGGGTGATACTGAGAGGGGAAAAGGGAAGGTTGCATCTCATGTCAACCTGGAACAGCCTATTCCGCAGACTGTTCTACTGCCAAAGCCTGCCCCAGAGGAGAACCTGTTAGAGTAAAGCCATGGATGTTATGGCTGAAGTTGACATAAATTGAGCATTTGCAGTCTGGGTCCAGTAGCTGTTGCCGACTAGGTTTATTAAATTTTAAAGAAAGTTTTCATCTAGAGGGGGAGAGATTTCTTTGTATTTTGCTAATGAAATGGTAGATGTTGAAGGGACTTTGGTTCTTCAGGTTTTGATCAATTTTGCCCTAAGGAGTCAGGTAAGAATTTTATATGGCCCTGTTTCTCTCTCTCTCTCTCATATCTATCTCACATGATATGCATTGCAAGATAAGTGTTCAATAAAAAAAAAAAAATCAACAAGTAAATAAACATCCACATGTCCTTTATTAAAGCTTATAGTATTTTTTTTGTATTTACAGTTACATACTTCTTAGGAACTAATTATTAGTAAAGATCTAAGTCGTGTTTTGTCTATTAAAAATTTTTAAAACCCCCAGAGTTGTGACTCTGCCTGTTAGCGCTTTGGTTACCTCACCGAACACATCTGTCAACGTTCGAAGTCAGCAGGAGTCTGTTTTCCCTGGAAGTTTCCAGGGAAGCTGTGCCACATGGAGCGGTGGTGATGGCGAATGTGGAGAATAGCTGCTGCTGTTTTGTCAGCAGACGCGGGAGAATTGGTAATTTTCTGGGGAGGGAAATACCCCAGGCAGTCAATGGCAAGTCCAAGACATGTGTGACCATTTTTAGGGAAGTTATTATTGGGTTCTTAGCCTTATTTTAGGGACACCTGTACGCTTCTGGGGGGTGATGGTTGCAGATTTGACGTGCCAGATAGCAGGTGTTTTAGCTAAATGAGTAAGTCGGTTGGCTTGCCTGAGTAGAACCCTACATTGTTTTGTAAGTGTACTGTCACAGGGCTGTAGAAAGAACTTTGCAGAGATTGCTGGCTGGTAATGCCTACCTTTTAATGTATTTGTGTGTCTTAAGATTTATGCCATCAAACTCAGTCTGAGAGGTATCATAGACCACTGAATGGTAAAAAAGAAGTTAGTGTTTCCTTTACTCCAATGTTATGGATGTGTATTTTGGGGGAGTTCTCTTTTTGTTGTTTGAGGTCTTTTGGGTTGCCTTTTTTTTTTTTTTCCCCCTCAAGAGAAAAGATTCTTATCATATTGCACCTTGTTAGTTGTCTGTTCCTAGTGGTAGACAGAACTTTTATATGCTTGGGAATTTATTAGAGTTCTGTTTGTTTCAGTATTCTTGTTGTCCATTTAATGTAAATAAATGGGAAGATTCATTTTTGCCTTGAAGATCTTACTGAAGTGGGAAACAAAACAGCAGATACCTACATAAGACAGTAAAATGACACCCTGACTCTGCGAAGTACCAAACAAAAAGTTCTATTTAATTTCATATTTTATTTGGCAAACAAGTAACTTTTGCTTAACATAAGTCATAAAATTAATTGAACACAAGATAGCCTTACAGATGAGTACTTCTCTCACCCTAGGAACTTAAGAAAGCAAGCAGAGCAGGAACTTTGAAGCTGTGTTATACATCAGTACAGAACGTTCTGTGGTATCCAACTCTCCAGAAAACATCACGTACGTTACTAGTAGCAAATGGTTGCTCATAAGGTTTGCCATGAGTGCTATAGATTGAGCACATTATAGTATCTTTATGAGCACATTATGTTATCTTCTAATTTCTCTTGTTGTCTTTGAACCTGGGGTTATTATTTTTTTTAACAGGTTCTTACACAGTTCCAGTTTCATTAATTAACTAAAGAATCTGTCCTGTCTACCAAGACCAGCTTTGTAGAAGTGAACGTAGCTATGTATTTAGTACTTACAGTAGCAATATGGATTTAGAAGCAGCAGCATTTCCATTTGTGCCTTCCAGATGAGCACAGTAGTATCTCTGTGCAGAATGGCAGGAGGCCTTTCCAGAGTCCTGTTGTCACATACTTTATGAATGCTTCTTAAGATGATGTTCATGAGTTGCCCCTAAGCCCACTGAGATTTTCAGTATTTGGCTGTAGAATTTTTAACTTTTAGATTTTGTTATGATGACAAGCTCCTGCTACGTGCGTGTTCTGAGCGGCTGTAATATGCTTGGGAAATGTCAGAAAATATCTGCTTATTTTTGGTATAAGCCCACATGTTACAGCTTAAAGAGATAGAAAGCAGTGACCTCAACAGTGAACTGGTTAGCCATGGATCCACAGTTGATTTGGGAAAACCAGTTCCCAAACAGTAAAGGCAGCCTGTTTTGTTACCACTGTGTATTGCGG